CTAATGATGTCTCGTAGTCTTGAGGAGAGAGCTCATGTCATTTTATATTGGACTCGACTTTAGTATTTTTGAGTTATTTAATTCTTTTAGACATATTTTCCGATTAGCTTAATGTTCTGATTAGCCTATCTATATTAATCATGTTCACATTTAACAATTATATATATATATATATATATATAATATATATATATATTATATATATATATATATATATATATATATATTTAAAAAAATGTTTATAAAAGGCTTTAAAAAAAAATAATTATACAACCTTATATGTGTTATATAGTTATATTTTTGAATTAAAAAAAATAATAATTATATAACCTTTTATATATATATAATATATATATATATATATATATATATATATATATATATATATATAAATATTAAAAGAACAAAAAAAATATGATTGTAAGTGAATGAAGTTACAAATTACGATTATAGTGACAATTAAATATTTAATAAATACAAACAAACAAAATGTAAAAAAATAATTAAAAATATATATTTGAACAAAACGTCAAAAAATAGAAGAAAATATTCAAGTAAAAAATCAAAAGAAATATTAATAAATGTATTCGAATAAAACGTCAAAAAAAAAAATTAGAAACAATTATACGAACAAAATCTCAAAAAATGCTAGCTAAAACATAAAAAAAAACATCAAAAATATATTCGAATAAAACGTCAAAAAAATATCCTAAATCATAGAAATATAAATAAGTTAAATAAAAAAAATAATAAATAATATATAAAATTACATAAATGATCCTTGTATGGCTGGAACAAATTACATAAATGGTCCTTATGGCATGAAAGATAAATTACTCATTTTATAAGAGACTTAACTTAAAAAAGTTAATACCATTAGCAAAAAAGATTATTTTACAAGATTTTAAAACCACATGCATCATCTAAACATAAAATTTGTCATAATGATAAAAGTTGGTAAAATGTTTCAACCACAAGATCATTTATGTAATTTTGTCTTTTAACGGGCTTCAAGTTTTCAACCTTGTGTGTATAATTATGTAAACGGTATATTCATGTTTAGGAACCGGCTCAAGAAAGCATTATTATACATTTTTTTTTTTGGGTTAAATCATTAATGAAATATTTAAGTTATTTTAATAACATGTAATTATATAAAAGTTTTATACCGTGTATATTAGAACATTGTAATTGGTAAATTTATTTATAAGTGTGTACTTTTCTATTTTTTATACATTTAACAAATAAAACTTATAAAAAACTATTCAAAATATATAGACTATTACCATAGACATTTAAAACTTTTTACGGCTACATTTACGTACTTTTCTATTTTGTTTATACATTTAACCAATAAAACTTATATAAAATCTAACATTATGATTGACAATTAAGGCATTTTCCGATTTCCATACATATTGATCGAACAACTTTTCATTCCATCCTTTGACACCCGACGGTCAAAAAATATGTTTTCACAAACTATTTAATAACAGAAGTTTAAAATGTTTATTAGGAAATTAATTAAAAATCAAGTATTACAATTAAATAAATTCAAAGGAGGGTGTATAAGTATAAAATCATTTGGCTGCATAAAAACACAGTCACAGTCGCACAACCAAATTTGCTTTCTTTATCCTCCTCCGGCGAAAGATGACCACCGAGTTCTCAAAATCAGTAGACATCGGACTTAGGCTATCTAAACGTATATACTATGGAAAAGAGTACGAGCCTCGCATGTCTGCTCCGAAGCCGGCGATAATGACCAAATCACCCTCACCGTCGCCATGTTCTTCCCCTCCGCCGTCCAAGCACCATCCAACGGCGCCGATGGTTTATGCGATGATTACTGAACCTGATATAGTCGATAAT